GGGGTTCTCCAGTGGGGTTATTGACAAGGGGTAATTGCCCCGGGGGGTAAATACGGGAGGGGGGCTCCTCCGGGGGGGGGGGGTAATTGACGGGGTGGGGGTAATGTCATGTAGCCAGGTCCACTATTAGAAAGCCAAGATTCCAAACTCTGTAGCCTTATGTATGTAGGTAATCTAATCTCATACAAGTTCATGAAAGCAACATCAAAGACGAGAAATAAAAAGAGCCATCGTTGTCGGCTTATTTAACAGGGAAATCTTAGTCTAAATCAATCCACGACAATGTCTTTAAGACAATAAACCTTAACTTTGCTTGAAATAACAATTTCGTTCTTCATTCAGTCAAACTCAACATTATGGCTTCACTGAACTTTGTCATTGAAAGGCATGTGTAGTTTGAAATGTGTGTCTGTTAAAATTGTACAGTTGATACCGAATATATCCAGCCTTTTTCTTCTTCGTTCAGCTGCTTTTCTTTCTGGATTTCTTTTCTTATCTTTTGTCAATCCAAGAACAAGTGTTGTATCCCCAAGATAGGTTGCTATCCCCAACTATAGAGCCTCATCTACACGGGAGATTGAACTCAGGACTTCTCGGTTTAGCAACCACGAACTTTACAAGTTCTTGATTTTGGTATTGGCGTGTCAGTTTTCTTCTTTATTTAGTCGACATCTAAAGTTAAACAAAAACAGTTGCCTACCTCAGCAAAAATCAATGTAGGCCAATTATGGCCAGTGTAGCAATTAGCAACATCAAAGTTGATTTGGATTCCATGCAACACTCATTCCATACTTCTCTAGTGTGGAGGTCTTGCTTATTAATATTATCCTGTTTGTTTGATACTTTTCTTTAACTTAATAATATTAACCATAGACACTTTTTGCCTGGAGTACAAACTGGGTCACAGTATTCTCTGGTAAACAATTAAGTTCTTTTCCAAATATATGCTCAGCTAATAGAAACAGCATTCCTAGATTATTTATTTTTTTTTGTTTTTTTTTTTTAAAAAGCTTCAGCTGTTTTAATGTCAACTTGTGCTGGGAATACTATAACTACATACAACCCTTTTCAGCTTTCAATCACTTGCATCTTATGTACAAAGTATGAAAACCAAAAACATCAAATTTTGAGAAATAATTTATTTATGAAACAATTGCATATAATTATAAAGCCAAACATTAATATATCAAGATTATTGCAATTATCACCATTTGCAGATTCTTGTTTAACTATGGTAGATGGAAGTATTAGTTGCCTTTTACATCACTTTTCACTTCCTGAAACAAAACAAAATGATTTTCTTAATCATCCATCTGAAATAATAAAATTAGCAAAAAAAAAAATCTTTAGTTTAAATTAGTTTAATACATCAAAACAAAACAAGAAAAAAGTGATTGAATGAGATGAATCACGGCACAGATATCTATAAAATTTTGCTTTAGTGATAAAGGGGGAAAAATTTAAGTTATTTTAAGTGAAACATAAGCTAGAGAAATAAACTATTAGGCCTAATTTAAATAATTTAATTCCTTTCTCCCAAAACACTACATGTATCCTTAAAAAAAGAAAACTTAAAATTTATCAATATTTACCTTGTGTATAAACTCTTCTGTACATCTACTGTATCAGCTTGATGCTCATTAGGTATGCCTAGTTCCTGTTGAGCAGTTAAGACAGATTAAGTAAATAATTCAAATTTGTAAGACAAACCACTAAATGATACTGTTATATATATATATATATATATATATATATATATATATATATATATATATATATATATATATATATATATATATATATATATATAAATATATATATATCTTTCCTGCAAATCAGCATATTTTGCAAAACAAATATTTAAAAAAATACATAATGATATTGTATCAATCATCACCACTGACTTGGTTTTACTAGGTAAAATATTTTTTTAAATACAATATTTATACCAATAAAAATCTACCTCCATCAACATGTTCAAAATAAACCAAAGCAAACTTGTGATAACTTACCTGATTAATGTTTGAGAGGATTCACCCAGTTCTCGCCACTGAAGCAGATTAGATGCATGTGTTATTACACTTGTGATATACTGATTGCCATTTTGTGTACTTTTAGTCCTGGAGATCTATGTTGTAGGCATAGACTGTTAAACCTGGATAGTAATATTATAGAAGTAAATTATATCTAGTATAATATAAATATTTTAAAATATAAATGACACTAAATTATATTTATCATTATTGGAAATAAAAATGGTACAATTAAGTTATAAAAAAACAAATTATAAAATTTAAAGCAGCTTATTAATAATTGTCATACCTTTTCCTACTTTTATGTCAAATGTAAGAGGTAATAGAGAAAGAACATCTTGTGTCATTTAGTATGCTGTAGTCTTATTACTGGTAAAAATCAGATCTTCCCTTTTTTTTGGATGAACCTGTAAAAGAGAAATTACAACATGGATAAACACAATGAATATCATATCTAATCCTCAACTAGTTATCACCCCAATCCTAACCTCATTTTTTAAAACCAATTTCTAAATATGTTTTCAGAACAAATGTATGTTAAGTCTACCTATTTTAATGTTCAGAATACTAATATTTATCAAAACTACCTCCAGTTGAAATTCAAGATACCTTTATAAAAAGTTATTATGACTTTAACTTTGTGTAGTTGTTATTTAGGCTATTTGTTTAATTTATATTATTTAAATTAATATTTCATGCCTTGTTTTAAAAAGATCTACAAGTCTACTTTTGATTTTATGGTATAATCTGATAAAAATTAGGCTGCTACATCTGAAAACTAAGGTCAATGCAAAGACTTCCAAATTAACGATAAGTAGGCTTGTATAGATATTGTATATAATTACTAGCCCAATAGTATTACTCTACGACCAATGTATAGGACTTAATGTATCAGACCTAATTCCTATAATTAGGCCTACTAATTATTAAATAATTAATAGATCTAACAGTAGGATAATTACAATTATGGGCCTTAGCTGACATAGAGAGCTGAATACTTAACTAAACATTTTTAAAAATTATAGTAAGCTAAGTGAGTTGAATTATTTTATTTAGCTAGGCCTAGGCTATAATATACTCTATAGCAGTCTATAGTTAAGTGATAGCCGCAGAGTAGCGTATATCATAATAATTTCAAATTAAATCTATAAGCAACATTAAGCCTCTGCCTTGTTGCCTAATTAAAAACTAAAGCCTATTAAGCCTTTTCCTAATAAGCCTTTGGCCTAATTTAAATAACAGCCTATAGGCCCTATAATATATAAATAGGCTAAACTACTTGTAAGACCTAATAGTAGTAATAGACTAATGACTAAGAGTGCTAGGCCCCTTTCCGATATTATATAATAATTGCTTGATCGATATCATAATATCTAACACTGATTACATTAATTTACATAAGGCTATACCATCTTAACTATGACTAATACTTTTTCTACTAATAAAATAGGCTATCTCTAGTTTAAACTTAGGCCTAATAGTAATTAGTAATTATAATTAAGTAGGCCATTTTATGACATTTATAAAATTTTTAGTAGATGGCCGAGCCTTAAATTTAAATACTAAAATAGATTTAGCATACTATGCCTATTGTTGGTCTAATTAATAATTTATTTTTCATTTAGAATTTTAGATCTCCAAAAGATAGGCCTAGGTCCTAAATAAATTATTTTTATTTTATTGAGCCCGCCTTAATGTATAAGATGTGATCTGTTTTTTTAATAAAAATAACCCTACACAATACTAGGGATTTAACTAATATCTAGTACTACTTTAGGCCTATTTAATTATTTATTAGTAGGCTGAATAAAATCTAAAGCTATAAGGCCTACTTTATTACTATATTTGCCTATTATTCTATAATTAATTTATGTTTTCTTTCAATACATAGTAGATCCTGTGGTACCTCAACATTCTAGTGCCTCGACATACCAGATTTTTTAAATACGAGCAGTTGAGCGAGTAATATTTCGCTTTGAGTTACGCGCAAAATTTGAGATACCATATTTCACAGTTCATGTAAAAGAAATACCCCCAAAAAGATGCAAATGATTATTTATCGCAGCTATTTAATTATAATAATAAGCGTCTTACTCATATTTGCAGCATTATGAAAGGGAGAAAGAAATAAACTTCCTAAACAAGTTTTATTTTAAGCTACCAGCACATGAAAGTGACTTAAATTAAGCATGGCAAAAAAGAAGAGAAAAGCTGTCACGAAAATTAAGCTATCGTAATAATTTTATTTAGTATTTATTTAGGCCTTACGTTTAAGTCTTAAGTGCAACAATGCTCAGTGAATTTTAGCCATTAATGTCATTAAGTTTAGGAATGATGTCACTGTACTTGTGTAGCTTTAACTTTAGTATATATTATTTTTAGACCTAAGCCTAATCTTGTAGATATAGATCTACAAACAATTTGAAATAGAAGAGATTTAAAATTGAGTAGATCTAGACTTCTAGATCTAGATCCTAAATGCTAAAGGACAGCTATGCCACAGAAATAATTATCTTTCTATCTAGTCAATCTAGACTAGTCTAGATCTAGCTAGTGCTACTGAAAAATTACTAGATTTTCTAGATCTAGATTCTATCATTTACTTTCGACGCACTAGGCATACTTTTAACTTGTTCTCTCTAGTCAATAATGTAGATTTCTAGATCTAAATGTAAATCCTGATCTTGTAGATTTGATTTACGTAGGTTTTACATCAGTGTAAATCGTTGATCAAGTAGATCTAGTCTAGATCTAGATCTGGACTAGCTCTCGTCAAAACAAAATGGCTGGAATATTAGCTTCAAAACACCTACAGTTTATGCTTTCCTAATTGTGGAGAGCATGTTTAATTATTGTTTTATTTTCAACGACAGTGTTGACTGAGAAACCACCAAAGGGTTTTATTCTCAGCGACACAGTCGGAGAGAGGCTCAACGATTCTGTCGTTGAGATGATCCGCATGGGGTGGACTTTCAAGTTTCCATGTATCCTAACATCACGGGTAATGATAGTGACGTCACGTTTGGAGTTAATAAAACATTTCCTGTTTCAATATGTAAGTGTTCAGCCAAATGTTTTTTTTAACCTGTTATTAAGGACATTATTACCAAACTAGTCGAACATTTACTAATAAGCTATATTTAGTCTTCCAAATGTAAAAATAAATCACTGCAAAATTATATTATTTTAGATGCACCTTCTATTCGACTGACTAACTGTCCATCTTCATATGGGATCAAAGGGTCAGAGGTCAACTGCACTTGTGAAAATAAAGACAATACAGACAGCACGACAAATATAACTTGGTACAAGAATGGTACAGCTGTAGCTGTCGATGTTATAAGCTCAACAATTTCACTAAACACATCAGAAAATTTAACAGGTAGATCTATTTAGTTAATAAGTCCAACAGAATAAATCACACAATGTTGTTTAGTTTTTTTTTCTAATATTTAAGAAATTGCATGATCGAAGTTGCTTTAATTCAAAAGTAGATCTAGATCTAGATCTAGATCTAGATAACTAGATCTAGATGGTATTTTCATCAAAGATGTAGTTATTAAATTATAGTTAATACAGTTAGATAATATCACAATTCTTTGTATAGTCTATGCTTAAATTAGTTATGTTTTAGTATAATATTATTATTAGCATTAGGTATGATTAAAATAAAACTATGATTTGTTTTAGAGCTGGAGATTTACTGTGAAGCCACCAATGCTTTGGGATGGAAAAGTGAAAAGCTATTACTAGATCTATGTAATTTTAACAATATCACATGGGATGTTGATTGTAAGAATAATAGCTTGTCACCTTTGCAGAGGTGTAGCGAGTGGTGGGGGGGGGGGACATATGTCCCCGGGCGCCGACCTTAGGGGGGGGGGGGCGCCAAATTGAAAGTTTGAGGGGGGTGCAAATGAAAAGCTCGAGAGGGGGTGCAAATCGAAAATTTGTCCCGACGCCGGGAAGGGTCGCTACGCCTCTGCACCTTTGCATGCCATTTTTTTCTTGATTCTACCTTTAGAGTTTAGACTAACACACTGCTGTCACTGACAGTTGTAACACTAATGTACTGAAACGGATACATATTTTTTCTTTTTTTTTCTGCATTAAACCATTTCTTCATACTCTGGGTAAACATTAAGTTATGTACAATATGATATAAATTAAAATATATATATATATATAGGCCTATGCATATTCAGTCAACATAGGCTAAAAAATTTATTCCACAAAGAGTGAATTTATCCTTTCATACTGTCTTGGCTAAAATACTGTTTTAAGTGGTTGAATTATTGTTTTTAGCATCAAACAAGTCTGAAAACAACAATGACACTACAGATGATTGTACAAATAAAGCCTGTGGAATTGGTAAGTTATTGAATACAAAAAAATCACTGTGCACAAAACACAGGTAAATTTTGCTTTACAAATCAAAATGTATTCCAACCTTAAAATAGTCTATTATCTCAAAAAATAGCAAAACCACACATGCAGTTGTGAAAATCTAAACTGCTTAAACTCAACAATTTTTTCCAGAGTTTGGTACACAATAGATATTTTTAAAGATGTCTATGTAAACAAATGTCAGCAATCCTATCCTTTCAAAATTGGATCAACTTTGGAAGATCCCATCCACCTTAAAGTTATAAAGTTATACAGTTTTTATGCATGTTAAATAAAATATATTGATGTTAAATTTAATGTTTTGGTGCTTAAATGTAACCAGCCTAGTCTTCTAAACTTAACTTTAGTCAGACCGCATGAATTTCCTTCCCATTTAAATGTCATAAATGTATGACTCTATTTTTTGGGGGTGAAGCTAAATTATTACGATTTCGCTGACAGATAAATCACAGGTAAATTAAAAGGCGTTTATCTATATTTTTTTAGTTGATAGATCTTAATAAATTTGGAAAGCCTATATTTAAAATGATAAATATCTTTCTTTGTTAATTAAATTATAAATAAAAAATATTTGTGTTTTAGATTTTGGAATTAAAAATTTTATCCTTTATCTTGCAACTACTGGCACAGCATTTGTGTTTGTATTTCTTCTGGCTTTATTTATTGCAGGTAAGTCTACATGTGATTAATTGCTATTGATACATGTGTTTTTTAATAGTTATTGAAACAATAGGCAAATCTCTAGCAATAAAATTAATTCTTATTTTCAGTAAAATGCAGTTGCATCAAGAAATGGAAAGATATAAAAAATATAAAGTAAGTTAATCATATAATATTTAAATTTAAAAAAATTTTATCTACTCTTAAGGTGCAGCTAAAAATAATATACAGCAAGATACATATACTTTCGCTAACAATTTCAGCAACAATCCTTTTCATAAGTGTTTTAAAAAATCCATATCCTAAACATGTATTTGTGTGTATACTATTAAGTAAATAGAATTTTGTTTACTCAACAAAGATTATGTTAAAATGTAGGATAAAAAACTTAAGCAATAAATAATTACTTCACCATTCTAATATCAAGGCAAAAACACAGAAATTCCATCTTCACAAATTCAGTTCACAGTAATATCTGTTATTTTTTTAATGACAAATAGAATACATTAAAATTGTACCGTATTGTTTGTCATTTAAATCATTCTGATTTTCAGTGTTCATAGTTGCTTAAAACAAATTTTAAAAGCCATTGTATGAATTGCTTTTTATTTGAACCCATGTTGTAGTATAAAATTAACAAATTGGAATTTAATTTACAGCAAATCCAATTTAATTCTAGTAGGTATGTAAAGTATTATTTCTCAAGCAATCTATATGGATAATATTCTGTGTTAGAGATATGGAAACAGAAAATTTAATACAATGCTTTTTGCAAATGTATTACTATGATAAATAAAAATGTAGCTAGTTAAACTTATATAAAATGTGAAATAATTCTTTGAATTTTCTTTTTATATTGAGATACTTTATAATAAATTTTGTATGTTAATTTTGGGTTGATTTATTTATCAAAAATATTTTTAAATATTCATCTTAGAAATTGACAACTCTGATATTTATATGATTGGAGAGGAAAGTGATAGCTGCTACACAATAGGTAAACTTTACTCCTCATTGTTTATAACTGGCAAATTTGGAAAAAAAAAGTAAATGTATTTTTTATAATGCCTTAAATATATTTTAAATTTCTTATAGTAATAAAATTGTTCAATTATAAAAATGTAAAATTTCTTAGTTTAAGGAAATTATACCTACTTAACTTACAAGGACTTCAATAGTATATGTATAATATCAGGCATTAGTAAATAATTGAGGTAAGAAATTACATACTGTAGTAAATATTTTATTCTTGGTGTATAAATTATCTTTACAGGCACATCCGTATATAGAATGCTAGAGCCTTATGTACAACACGACCTGGTTTCCAGGATGAATTCTAGTGAGACTTACATGTCAGATGATTCACAGGCGTGCCTTATAGCTGATTCAGCAGATGCAAGTCACAAAAATAGTGAGTTTCAAGTTTTTAAGAAATACTGTCACATTGTACAGTATGAAGAAATATTTGACTAATTGACTATTGATTTTTACTTTTTCACCTTTAAAGAAAAATAGGGGAAAAAATAAAAATAAATTAGTTTATATCAACTTCCAGTATTTTTTTAAACAAAAATTAATTATTGCTAAATTAAAAAATGTCCATTAGATATATTCTATGTGGAGTTCTGAAAAAGTATTGTTTTTATTCTAGGATTTAAACTTTGATTTTTATAAATTAGAAAAGGTTAAATTAGTTTTGTGGAAGAAATACTAATGGATGTTTTGTACAGAACCTGGGGCTTGCTAAAACATAAAATTCCTGTAACATTTAAAAGGGTGATGGGATTTGGGTGTTAAGAGTTAGGGTTTGGAGGAAACTACTATCATGGATGGTGAGAGAAGTGTTCAGTTTAATATCATGTTGGGGTTGTCTGGTATATGATTGGTGTGTTTAGGGGTCGGCATGGTCCAGTCGGTAAAGCTCATGGTTGCTAAACCGAAAAGTCTCGAGTTCGAACCCTCGTGCAGATGAGGCTCGTTAGCTGGGGACAGCCACTCTTCTAGGAGAGACAACTCCAAAATTAAACAACTGCTGCCTTGTAGTTTGTTCTTGGTTGGACAAAGGCTATGGAAGCAAATCCAAAAAGAAAAGCAGGCTGAAATCAGAGTCAATGGCCTCAATGGCGCATAACAAGTTGACACGTAACGCTTAATTGTGTTGGAGGCGTGGTCGAGTCGACAAAAAGCTCATGGTTGATAAATTCTAACAAAGTCTCGAGTTCAAACCCACTGGCAGATAAATCTCGATCCCCTTCAACACTAATAATTAAGAAAGAAGAAGAAGAAGATTGGTGTGTTTGTAATAATAGTAGTGAGAAGAAGAGGGCGAGAGAGGAAGGGGTATTAAGAGAAATAAAGGAGCAAGGGAGAACAAAAAAAGGGGGGGGGGGGGGATGCAGAGAGCAAGAGAGAGAGAGGGGAGTGAGAAAGGCAGTGAGACAGAGAAGTAGAGAGAAAGATGGGGAGAGATAGAGACAGGGAAGAGGAAAGGTAGAGAAAGAGAAGCAGTGAAAAAGATGGAGAGAGGGCAACAATTACAGATGATTAAACTTTTTCTGTCCACAGCTTATCCCATGCGGAGATGTTCCAGAATCTCTATAGAAGATGAGCCAGTCAACCATTATGAATACATCACATAATTTAGTTGTCTTAAATGTGAAATATCACAATAAAATGCTATTCAAATTTTTCCAAGGTAACTTTATTTTACTTGATGTGTAAAATAATGATATATTTTTCAACTGCTAGGAAAAGAAATGATGCTACTATGTAGCTTGCTTGCTGTTCTTGTAATTTTAATCTTTCTATACAATGTGACTCACTTTAAAAAAAAACAACAACCATTATGCTCATCTTTTAAGTTTCAGCTTTGTGTGTATACATTGAAATCACAATGTTTAAAATATTATAGGACTCCAAACTATTTTTTGGATAAAAAAAAAATATCAAATGTTTTCAATGAATATTTTATTTTTGCTTAAACCATTCACTCTAATGAAATAAGGTGTTGTTTTTCTCTATTCTAATTACTATTCATTGTTATGAAGCCAAAGTTATATGTTTTATTAGGTAGAGAGAGAGAGAGAGAGAGAGAGAGAGGATTTGTGTTTGAAGTGGTGTAATGTAGAAAGAGAATGTTTGACCTTTTGTGCAATGCTGTTATGAGTGAAAATTTAGTTTGTCTTATTTGATTATATAAGAGGTGTAAATGCATTAAAAGTTTAGGTACATTTTTCTGTCATTGTGATTGAGAAAAAGGAACTGATCTCATAAGTTTTAAAAATTTACATTTGTATGCAATAACAGCATGTCTTGAGTACAAATAATTGATGAATGTCATCTTCTTCTTTCTCAACATAAGATTTTTGTATTTGAATTTTCTTTTACAGTTTACATAGGCTAGATTGCAATTTAGGGTTTGCGATAAGTTTTGTTTGTGATTAAATTTTGATCTCCATACAATAAATTAGACAATGGAATTAAACCAAAATTTAAAATGACATTTTTTTAAAATTTGAGCAGAATAATTAATATTATGTTAGACAATCTGTGTTTAGAAAATTAAAAAAACAAAACAAAGGGTAATAAATGCAGAAACCATAAATACTAATATAGCTTCTGTTGACATTTGGTTTATTGTTCCTTTTATATTTCTTCTATAAATTAATATATCACAATTTTGATAATGTCTTGATGAAATCTCATTTTTTAAAATTGTTTATTCAAATACATTAAAAATTTAAATTGAACTATACAATTTTAACATAAATGGACTTATTTCTCTTTAATTTGAATCACAAATTAAAGAGAAATAAGTCTCTATCACATAAGTTTATTTCAAATATACAAATTTCAGTGCAAAAGAAAAAACACAACATTTTAATTAATAATCTTATAAAACATTTTAGATTGTTCCTAAAACTATACTTTTAAAATGAACATATGGTCATAAAAATATTGTAGAAAAATAAAGGAATAATTCTTTAACATTGGGTCACATCAATATTGTAAAAAAATGAAAAAAAAAAAATGAAGTAAAAATTGTTAAGTAGACGTAGATATGTATATAGGTTTAACAGACTTTTATTACATACATAAATTTGCATTTTAATCTCTATATTTTGTGTTTCTTTCAAATTCATACAATAAATACAGTGTAAAAAGTATTTCAAATTTATAACACAGTTTCTTCTTCAAGGTTGAAATCCATTTCACTTATACTTGCCTGTAAAAAAGAATAACCAAATAATATAAATGAATTTGTATAGAGTGTGTTCTTGCATATATATGTTATGTAAATATACATACAAGTGTATGTGTATATAAATATATACTACAAAGTGAACCCATGTATGCACATAGGGACAATATGGCAGTATGAGATGTGTTGAATTATGGCAGTTTTCCATAAATGGTTTATTACAAATGTTATTAAATAATTCAATTAAAATTTGAAGGATAAAGACTATTATTTTTGTATAAAACTTATTTACATCTTTTTGAATTTACAATAGCATTTATAAACTAACTGCCAGTAATGAATCAAACATGATATTAAAATTATCACATAAATCACTACTTCTTATTTTATCAAATATTTAAGAAAATATGTTGTATTCAATATCTTGTATTATAAGAGTATGATTATTTCATATTTACAAATTTCAGTGCACAAGAAAAAAACAATATATTTTAATCAATAGTGCAGTCTCAAAGTTTGTCTAAATATTGTATGCATGTAATGTAAGGCTGCAACTTCTGAAGTTGTTGTCTTTATCAATGTTTATTAGAAACTGTATTGTTTACATAAAAGTGTATGCATGTGTATGTACAAGTTGTCTTCATCAATGTTTGTCAGCCTCTGTGGTTTATATCTGAATGTATGTATTCCACTTCTTATGTAAATAAATATGAGTGACAGTTGAGAGAGGTGATGACAAAACCTGACCTGCAATACTTTGCTTTTTTTTTTTTTTGCAGAATAAAGCTTTATCAATTAAAAGCAAGAATGCGCATTAAAGATGTAGCTTACATTATATTAAAAATTTCAATAAAATGATCTATTAAAGTATTTTTAAAGTCATTTTTACTCTTTCATGTCAGTTTATTATTTTAAAAATTTGGTTACATTTAAATTTAGTTACAAATCATTTAATCCTTTTTACAAAATTAATTTTAATTTGCAAATTAACTTTTTTTAAACATCTAGATGAATATGAAGAAAAAAATATAGGCTACATAGATTGAGAAAATGTAAGTCAATGTTTAAAATATAAGTATATATTTTCTATTAAAACATCTGGAAAAAAGATTTTAATGTATCAATTACATGATTTCTCTCTAATTTCTCTCTTATTGTTGTAATAAACTAATACACTCAAAAACTACAATAAATTTTAAAGGAACCCTAAAAGGCCAGTTAATTTGTTAAAGCTCTTGGTTAGTAATGAATAAAAGAGATTATAAAAAAACTCTTTACCTGATCCATTTTAATGTAAAATTCTGGGGTTATATTATATTTTTACTATTAATGTTATAAAACATGAACTATTAAGGTAAATTTGTTATTCTCTAACAGCATCTTTGCCTCTCTTATAAATAATATCTCATTCTTTTTTAAACACAAATTACTACAGTGACACTTTAAATTTTACATAATATGAATATTATTTTTAGTAAACATTTATGGTAAACATCACAGTTACATAATTTTCCATGCTGATGTGTTTAAGACAAAAAAAACCTTACCTTTCATATTCTTTACTAATGTTCCTGTAGGAAAAAATGTTATATTTTATATGTTTGTTGTAATCGCCTGATAATTTTTAATAAGAAAAACTAAATTTATAGAAAATCCTTCTCTAATACAACTAAGTCCTAAATTCAGAAATAACAAAAAATTTTTTTAACAAAATATATTTTGTTAAATGGTTTTAAGTAGTCTGACATTCATTTGAAACGAAATTATGTGCTATATTAGATTACACTTCACAAACATCACATAGGAAAATACAACAGCGACATAATAACATACCTTCTTTCCCAAGCGTATCAAAATCTACCTGGTCAGAGAATCTATCTAGAGAAAAAAAAAACAAATGAAAGCTATGCAGATCATCAAAAATAGTTTACATAATTTGCCAATAATATGACTAAAATAGTTCCAAGTAACTACGGATATAGCATAAAGTATCTGTATAAATTTTGTTTAATTTATTAATAATTGCCCTAAATAATGATGCATTGGAACCAGCTCCTATATAATGTAAAAAAATATAATAGAAATAAAAAATTTAATTTTAAAATAGTTAGTGTTTAGCGAAGGTACTTCTAAAAAAATACTTATTGCTAAAAATTTGATTAACGGCTCCATTTAAAGGAGCTTTAAATTGACAACAAAATCTTATGTTATTTAAGGATTTATATTGTTGCTTGCAGCTGACGTTTTAACATTGAAAAACAATGTGAACAGATCTCACTAATGCTGATCCAAGTCCCTGGACAGATTTGATAGTTAAACTATGATGTAACCTCAGTGTGATGAAGTAAACTTAGATAATATAATTAGATATAGGTTAAGCAGAGAGGTAGACTGGAGTAAGATTTAAGCAGGGTGCCTTGGTCAAGTAGGTACAAATCATTCTCATAAAAAATGGGTACATGGAAAAACTGTGCAACAGAAAAAAGAACAAAAATGCCTAGGCAAGCTATATACAGATAGACAATATAGTTAACCTTTTCCACAACACTCAGATTATACTGTACCAAAGATCTCTTTAATTAATGTTTCTCTTGTAACCTATACATAAGGGACACCCACAAAAGTTTCCCCAACAAAATATTAGTTTATGGACCTTTTTAAGAATATAACACAGCACCAAAATTGACAAAATAGCTGATCAGTAAAATGTCAAGTGTCATAATAAGGATGGGGAGATAAAACACTGGTGAAAGTCAGCTTTTTGTTTGGATCAAACATTAACACCTACTTATATGCTGCTAATATGCATCAGGTGTCTCAAATGAAAACTAACAAATCAGACACAGGCTCAGGTAGAGGTGTAGTGAGGGGGGGTGCGGATCGCACCGGGTGACACTATTTAGGAGGTGTAACCAAGGCAAAAAATAGCAAAATATATGGAGAAAAACTTGACGGGGGGTGGGGGGTTCAAATCAAAAGATTGAGGGGAAGAGGGGTGCAAATCGAAAATTTGAAAGTTTGTCCCCGGGAAGGGTAACTATGCCTCTGGGGGGGTTGGCACCATTAAGTGCCATACCGGGTGACACCTGACCTCGCTACGCCACTGAGGCTCAGGTAGATAGATGTACAGACATACAACAGCTGGAAGTCCAGACTTGGATGAAGAAGACAGACGACGAGTCAAGTTGTAAGAGGATAGCAAAGCAAGCTAAAGCACTCACTGGATTGTATAGCTGTAGGGAGACATGGATGAGGTGTAGGTCTTAGTCAAGTCAGGAATTAGGAAAAGGCTTGTGTTATGTGATAATGTATGACTATAGGGATCCTTTTTCATTTTACAGAAAATTAGAAAAAAATAGAAATTAAAAATAAAATTCAGTAAAAGTGTTGTTATTGGGCACTGCTCTCTTATTTCTTCAAATCTCTTTACATATTATAACACAATTACCTACAGAAGCCTTTGCCTGTACATATTGCTGACCATAATATCCTTTCATATGCTGAGGACACAGAAATAGGTGAAATCTACTTCACTTCCCCCATGGACAATAAGGTTCAAAAGCAAACTTTTCTGCCTATAATATAGTATGTTCAGGAGCTGTTTTGTATTTAAACTTTGCTTAAAAGAAAAATCTAAAATAATCTAAAGTATATCAATTAGCAGTAGCTTACTCAATTTTTGAAGCTGTAATAACGTATCATGAGATTTCTTTGACCTCCTCCTTATTAGATGTAATCTACACCTTAAAAGGATTAAACATCTATTAACATACACACACACACATTTATATATATATATATATATATATATATATATATATATATATATATATATATATATATATATATATATATATATATATATATATAATTAAAATAAAATTGTTATATATTAAATTTAAACAAAAATGACTACTGTGAGAAATATTTTAAACTTTTTGAACAAATTTACCTTTGATTTATCTTATTCCTACAAGCACACAGAATCACTGTAACAATTAAAAAAAAAGAGCTTTCAGATTTAAAATAATTTGAAACAATTTCTTGAAAACAGTTAAATTGTTATTGTTTAATTACAAGAGCAATTAGATGGTATCCTTACCAATGAAAATAATAAGAGGTAGTATCACAAGTAAGGCAAGCAACTTTTGATTTACTTCAGCTAATAGAAAATATTTGTTTCAATTTATTATTAGTACATTTAAAGTTAAAAGCATAGTAAACCAACACTATACTTATATGAAATTTTAGTCCAAAACACAATCATATATATAAAAATTATTTTAATTATACTATAACCAGATCAACTCACCTTGATGGTTATTGGATGAATAAATTAGCTCTTTACATATCACAGTGCAGTTTTGGTTTCCATTTAAAAATAATAATGAATGTTTATTTTGGCTGCATAAATTATGAATAAGTCTTTCATCAATTGTTGAAAATATGCATGATACATTTTTTTTAGAATAGCAGTGTATATTCACATTATAACAAGACTGATTGGAGCAGAGATTTTTATGATCTAAAGAACATTCTTCGGGCATTCCATCATCCTCTGAAATAATTATTATAAATTTGATAATTTAAGTTTTTGCTAATAATATAAAAATAATATCAATCAATTACTTATTGTTGTTTTATTTTTTTGGTTATTATTACTATTTACAGAGTTTCATGTTTCATAAATGGCATAGCCTAACGGCAGAGTGCTAGACTACTAACTCGAAAGTCTCGAGTTTGAACCCTGGTTAAAGTCAGTAGAACATAGCTGAGTCCGACAAGTGCTGATGGGTATCTAACTCACATGAGAGAAACAAAGGCAGCTGGGCAGAGTGCGGACCACACTATACCTCCAGATGTTGAGGTCTCTGAAGCAGATAAACTCTACTTCATCTGTCCCATGTGTCTTGGGCATGAACAGATAAAAATGTTTCTTAAAATCTTCTAAATGGTATTTAGATAAACACAATGTCTTTTACAAAGTCCCAGAAATGCTAAGCATACATTATGACACGCTAGTTTATAGTTCTGTGCCAGTTATCTTTTAGTTTTGTAATCTTAATTTACAGGTTTTATAATTTTTAATTTATAATTTTACAATTCAAAATTATAAAAAGGCGTGTCTTGATAAAATAACAATTGTTTCTAATTCCTGCTCATACTACAAGAAAAAAGTGAGTAGAACTACCTTGAATCTCAGTGCTGTAAACAATTGCTGAACTCTTCCATCCAAATAGATTGACTGCTTGGCATGAATATTCTAAAAAAGAGGATCCATTATTGCACATTACTTTTTTAAACTTTTGTAATAATTATCATTGAAACACATTATTTTAATAAAATATTAGTGATATTATTTCATAAAACTTACCAGAATTTGTAAGGTTGTTTAATAATAGCCCCACACACTGTTGTGATTGGTTTAAAAGTGTGTTGTTAAAGTACCATCCAACAAGGGAAGGGATATCACTCTTGTCTGTTCTACAACAGCTACAGCTGGTGCTTGTGTTATCTTTACCAGCCTCATCTATACAGCCTGAGAGTCTAACACTGGGATGATCTGTGCAGCAAAAACAAAAATATTATAAGACATTGTTTAAATATTGAAATAGCCAAAAGGTATGTAAACTTTGTTTACTTAAACAAATATATTTAAAACAATTAGGCTTGTAAGTCTCGTTCTCTTACATAAAATTCAAAATCTCGTTAGCCAGGAAGAGATACATTTTTGAACTAAATTAAATGTTTGAAAACGATTCCTAGTGATAGCAAAAAAAGGCAGTTATTTGTTTCTAGGCCTTGCTTCAAGATTTTAAATTACCAAGAGTACCCAAATTGCAACAAATTATAACTTTTTTTTTTACTAATAATACAATGAAAATTAAGTACCGTTAGGCATAGGCTATTAATATTTCATTAATATTGTAACCATGTTTAGGACAACTTGTTATGCATTTGAATAATAAATAGCTAACAGCAAATTATAATTTAACTTCAGGTATATTTTTCTTTAAGCTAGCCTTCATCTTGTAGTTTATCATTATCATTGTTTACCATTTTAAATAACGTAACAATAGCTGGAAGTAATATTTTTTTTATAAACTGATTCAATAAAAAATTCATATTTGGTTTGAAAAATACTGGCTGGCAAGTTTGAGAAAGAGAAGTTTGTGACCTACTCACAAGCCCTATTAAATAATAGTTAATATTGGGAAAAAATATCTGTAGTGTTAGGAAACATTTATGTAGGTCACATAAAAACAAAAATGTCAATGGTTTGATTACCATTACCATCATCTTAAAAAAAAACATAATTCAGATCCTGGTTGGCATTTTATACATGATCATTTTAAGGTTGTTAATGTTAACGAGAGATTTTTAGTAAATAAAAAAAAATGTAGTTACCAATCAAAACTAAAATGTTGTACATAACACCATTTTCCTTGGCAGCAGTTATATTTTGTAAATCAGGATAAATTAAAATATCAAAATCATATTTTCCTATACTAAGAGCATGCTTGTCAATTTCAACAGAACAATTCATGGAGTAGTTTACTTCATCATCAGATCTATTAGTAAAGCTATACTCTGGCATTAGGCTGGCATTTGATGGGACCTGGTATTTGATTGTAAAAAAAAAGGTTACACTATAAATTACTTTGACCGGTGCATAATTGTTATAAATTATGTTAAATAAAAATAAACTATTGACTTGATGGCAAATTAAATATTTGAGAAAAACCTGCTATGTACTACTTTTTGTCTTTTTGTTATTTGTTAGCTAGACTTTAAAATCAATTAACTGATGTTCAGATAAATATAATTTTAAGTGGCTACATTAGTCCATTAATAAAGTGATCTGATTAATTATACGAATGTCAACGTATCAGAGAATAGTAAAGTAAAGATTCCTCTTCAGACCTAGCAAACTATTGGACAGATGATGTAGAGTTCATGTTTATTGACTCGGCATATGAAGGAATGGTGTAGTCAGAACTATATACAGCTGCCTTTACTTTTTCCCAAACCGAAATCAGGTACCCACCAGAGCTGGGTGGATTCAGGGACATCCCACAGTCACAAGCCCTAACCAAAATCCAGGTTAGCAGCCAAACTCTATATCATTGGGCCATGCCATCCCTCATCTGGGTATAGTGCTGACCTTCTTATGTTGAGATAAAGGGAAAGAAATGAATACTTTTTCATCTGCACCATAAATATCTGACTCAAAAATGTTACTTTAAATAAATATATTTAAATTAATTATATTTAATAATATAAAATTGGCCCACCTTATTTGTTGTTAAATGAAATAAACATTTATGTTGGAAGTTTAAGTTTGCGGAGCTGCAGATTAAATTTAAACTCTCCTTTGTGAAGTAATAATTACATTCTGATTCACCACTAGCTTAAAAGAAAGAAATAATGGTTAATTAGGCTGTATGTTTCAAGCAATACAAATATAGGCTATATGTTTGAAATGTAAGCAATACAAACATAGGTTTAACTTTAATGTTTTAAACACAAGCAATACAAATATTTTTAAAATATAAAATACCTATAAGCAATATCAGAAAAACTTTATTAGCAATATGATGCTTAATAGAGTGTTGCAAGTAAGAATTTATTTTAAAATATGGGCGATAAACAAGGATGCTTGTTATTACTAATGCTTTAGTGTAAGTTGGGTTGGCTATGTGTATAACGGGCTGTGTGTGTAAGAAATTTGAAAGTTATATCTTAGTTACTTTAAAAGTTAGTAGGGGTTCCACATAAAACTATTTCTGCTAAAAAAGCAAACACATTTTTCGTGTTAAAAAAAAATTAAAACTTTCTTAAAAAATGACATGCAGCAATATATTTAGTGTTTCTGTTCTGATGAAAGCAATATCTATCAGGGGGAATGGTTAAAATTTATTTAATTTCATTATAAAATTTCATTTTGAATACCTAATATAACACATGGCTAAAAGTTTTTCACTGCTAGGTATTAGAAAAAGACCAAATAGAACTTACTATAGATTTGTAGCTTGCACACATATAATGTTTCAGACTGTGTAGAAGAATACGAGGCTTTCAGACTCCAAACACTTAAGCCATTTGACTGAGTTGAATATGTCACATTTTTTAATTGTACGCTTGTAGCAAGGTAATCACCACTAGTTTCAATAAATGACTTCAAGGTAAACTGAATGTATGGTGAGTTAATACACACATTGCTATTAATATAACAAACAGTTACTAGAGCATTGTCTTTATACCAGGACAACAACTGGTGCTTGGATTGTGAGATGTTGTGTTTATAGCTGATCTCACAGTTAGTTTCTTCTTTACACTCAAGTGTACATCCATAAATAGCTGTGGATTGGTGAGTTTTAGTTTTAGGCAAGGAAAATGTGTATTAACAAATAGTATTTTAAAATAATTTAATGTTCTCTCTTAGAATATATTAAGAATCTTTTCTTTTTCGTTGCACCAATTGGCTTAATCAGGATGTAGATCTAGCTCTGTAAAGTGTTTTATGAACTGGGCTAGTATAGGGTAAACTATAATAATATATAGGATAAAGTAGGACTACCAGAACTAAAATAAATATAACGCCAACTGTGATTCACACACTTAATTTATGATAAATAATTTATAACATAGGTCTATAGTTAGTCTATGCTTATGATAAATTTGCTTTTCATTAAGTACTTTCTGCTCATTTTAAAAGGCTAGTCTTGATTAATAAATGATAGATTAAATAAACGAGATATTTTTGCACAATAAAGTAAATTTTCTTACCTTTGCTTAAAAACAATAAGGAATATAAAACCAGCCATGTAATTATCATTGTACATTTTCTCAACATCCACTCTGTCTCATTAAAATATTTTCTGATTCATGATGAGCCATTGAAAGAAGATAAAAAAAAACAAGTTAATTAAGTTATCAAAAGTAATGTTATTACACATTTGTTAAATTGGGGGTCAGCATAGTTGGGTAGGTAAAGCAGCAAAGTGTATGGCTACTGAACCAAAAAAGTGTATGGCTACTGAACCAAAAAAGTGTATGGCCACTGAACCAAAAAAGTGTATGGCTACTGAACCAAAAAAGTGTATGGCTACTGAACCAAAAAAGTGTATGGCTACTGAACCAAAAAAGTGTATGGCTACTGAACCAAAAAGTCATAAGTTTGAACACAAGGGCAGAAGAGAGAAAAACTCCAAAATCAAACAAATGCTGGAATCAGAGGGGTGTTGGGAAATTGGGAAACACGAAAAGCAAAAGGGCGAGGTGGTAAACTGCAAGAAGAAAATGCGAGACATAGGCTACCTCAGAAATCATGGGTAAATAGCAAGACACTATTGGCAAAAACAAATTTTGTTTAATGAATTTTTAGTTTTTTTTATAGTTATAAACTAAAGAAGCTGATATATCACTAACTAATGTTGAGTGTTGTTCTTTTTTTTTTATCCAGTTTTGATTTTATATTAAAAAATCTTAACATCCTCTGACCACTGCTCTCATTTTCTTTTCCCATCTTGATAGACGGGTCAGTGTGAGTTCATAAAGAGAATAATATTTTAGACTATATTTTTAAAATCTATATCTAGATATTCAAAATTTGAAACCAATGTCATCCCATTCTCTTCCGCTCATGTTTTCTAATCTGTGCCAGGAAAAGAAAAAGGACATTTGAGGGGTCGGTATACATTTCAAACATGTCTCACTTTTACTCATTAAGTCTACATCGTGACTTAATAAGCGCGACGACCTTAATATCATACTGCCTTGTTTTTTTCTATGAGAAAAAGAGAACCCGCAGGCCACAGCATCAAAGATCAATAACTCGGTGAATTATTTTTTGCTCGGTTTTTAATTAGTATATCTGTTCTCCCCCACGTTTAAAAAAAAAAAAATTACTAACGTGTTTGGGGTCAAAAGTATAACATTTGATTCAAGAAAGGGAGCTGGCGGTATTGAAACAACGCAGCTGTTTCTTTAATAGTAAAAATAAATTATACAGGAAGTTTGTAATCGCATAGCTTAATTAATTAGTTCATTTAATAATTGCTAAGGAATATAAAGTAAAGGGAGATAGTTTATTTTTTAGTTTATTAGTTTAAATGTATTAAGGCACAACACTAATAAGTTGATCTATCGTCGGCTGTATTTCGGGTGGTTTCAAACAAGTCGTAACAAAAGATGGTGAAGCTGACAAATCATCAGAATATCTGGTGACGGAAAAATTGGAAGTTTTAACAATGTAAACGAATTGTCTTTGAAGTCTGCATCAAATATCACTGTAAATCGGTCGCGGTCAGAGTTTCTTCCAGTATCTCTCCGGGGGGGGGGGGGGGGGGGGGGGGGAGAGGGCACTGCCCCCTTGAACGAAATGGAATTTATATAGAAAATTTCAAGTGCACCCCCGGAGAAATATGTCTGGAAGAAACACTGGTCACGGTAAAAGTTTCGCAGATAGCTTAGCATCCTACCACCACCCTGCGTAAGTATTGGGTGGTGGTAGGATGTGAGGCAAACATATCACGTGACCAAGGGTTTTCGGGCCCTTCTCGCAGTTTACCGCCTCGCCATTTAGCGGCTCGCAATTTCTCAACAGCCAAATCAGAGTTAAGGATTAAGGAGCCCGTATTGTATTTATAACTACCAGTAACTAGAACTACTCCTGTGTCCGATAATAGGCTCTTCCATAAAATTAGTTTTGTGTTGGGTTGTTAGTACTAATGTAATCTCGACTAATTTTATGGTTAGAAATTAGGGTTAGGCGTATGGTAGGACCAGGGTTGGGGTTAGGGACAGGGTCAGCATTGACATTAGCCAGCCATGTGTGTATTTAATTTAGTTAACTACCAGAAACCTAACACCCCTTTTTTAAAGAAGATTTCAATATCGGAAGCCGATGTAAAAATTAATCCCCTAGAAGAATCTAGTTTAGATTTTATTTGTCTAGTACTACTAGATTCTAGATCTAGATCTAGATCTAGTAGTGAGTTAAACTTAAAAGTTAGTCTTGTCGTGTAACTCTGTGTAAGTCAGTGTAAGAAATAAAAAGTATGTAGATCTAGTAACTAAGACTAAAAAGTATTAACAGTAAACTGTAAAGTATTAACTTATTATTAAGTATTTGATCTAGATTTCTAGATCTAGATTCTCTACTCTCTAGATCTAGATTCTAGATCTAGCTAGCTGCTAGAGCTAGATCTAGAATTGATATTAGATAGTTACTTGCCTTAGGCCTTAGGCCTATATTTAAATATTAATACTTATTATTATTATAGTTAGTTAGTAGTTAGGGCCCTACTTATTTAGTAAATAATATTTACTTAGTTAATAATAATAGTCATAGATCTCTAGACCCAGTTAACACACTTTAACACAGGCTAAGATCAGGTTCATTCTTCGCATTCTTCGGAACTTCACAGTTCATTATTTGTAATTTCGGGAATTCCCTGAAAATATAATATTCTAGGATAGGCATATGACGTAGAATTCTATATTACAGTTATTACATGCCTAGATTAAGATATAGATCTAAGTAAATAGAAAAACGGCTTTCCAATTTTTCAAGAAAAATGTAAAAAATGCTTAGAATTTTTAAAAATTCAGACCTCCAGATTTACACTAGGCTCTAATCAATGTTTTTTGTTTTTTCTGTTTTTTTTTTTTTTTTTTTTTTTGTTTATCTAGATCTAGGTCATAAGTTGAATTTCTGTTTCGGTAAACTGATGGCCAAATCAATTTTTTGAGCATTTATAGTCTAGATCTAGATCTTCTCAAAATTTCACCAGCCCTTGAAAATAGTTGAATATTTTATTGTAAATTGTAGTTGTTCTTAAATGAATGTTTCATCTCCTCAAATTATGGATCAAAAATAGGCCTATTTTAAAATAGGAGAGTAATCACTATTAACTAAGCCCCCCCCCCCCCTTGGGTCGTACATAAGGGGTCATCCATATATGACGTCACGCTTTTTTATGATTTTTACCTCCCCCCTCCCCTCCGTCACACGTCGTCACAAAAAGCCAGACCCCCCCCCTAAAATGACGTCACACCTCAACCTACAACCCCCCTCAAAATTGCAGTTGAATTTTTTTTAAACATCGATATTTTTCATCACACATCGTCACAAAATTACGGACCCCCTCCCCCTACGAGTGTGACGTCATAAGTAATTTCACACTCATTGTGAGGGGGGGGGGGGGAATGGGCACTTCGGGTCTTTGGATTTTATAAAACAAACAAAAAGAAACAACAAACAAAACAGAAACAACTAAAAACAAACGAGTATTTCCAATAATGGATGAGTTTAGACTTGACAGGCTAAAGTGTAACTTAATTTTAGGGGGATACTGACTTATAGTAAAGATGTGTAGTGTTTCTTCAAGACTTTTTCTCCGGGAGGGAAGGGGGGGGGGGGGGGGACTCCTGAAATTTTTGGGGGAGGGGCGGACTAAATTTTCCGAGGGGAGGAAACACTGACAATGATATGGGGGGGGGGAGTTTATGAATAGCTTTTTTTTTTAGAAATGTACATGCCTTTTTTTTATGGACGACCCCTTGTTTTAAAAAGAAATGGTGTTTAATGTAGGCCTACATTCTCTACTCACATACTTTCTGACTGTCTTAGTACCGCAAGTGGTTGAAGTGCTTTAAGTACAACCACGACTGTGTAGGAATTTAAACTTTTCTTGATTCAAGTGTTGTTCAAAGAGGTTTTATATCTAGATTCTAGTCAGAGGCGTAGCGGCGGGGGGGGGGGGGGGGGGGACACATATGTCCCCAAGGCGCCGACCTAAGGGGGGGGGGGGGCGCCAAAATGGGTTGGGAAAACAAATTGAACGTTTGAGGGAGGGGGGGGAGGGTGCAAATCAAAAGTTTGAGAGGGTGCAAATTGAAAGTTTGAGGGGGGTGGGCGGTGAAAATCGAAAGTATGTCCCCCGGCGCCTGGAAGGGTCGCTACGCCTCTGATTCTAGTTCGCATTATTTCTATTTGATCAAGATTTTAAACACAGAAAAAATGTAGGATTGTTAATCAGTCGTAGTGTGTATTTTGAAATGGTTACCTTCTATTAATTTGCGTTTTAACTAATTATTTAACAGAGTTATCTAACTGCAATGTGTTGAGTCTGGGACTCTGATATAGGCTTAGCTAATGTATCATAAAAAATACATTGCACTTGATACGTTTTCAAATGTTATTATTAAAACTAATTTAAAATCGGAAACTTGATTCGGTTTGAAATGCCAAAGCTTCAATGAAGGAAGAAAATGGCGATAAAGTTTATTTATATAGTCTCTGCCATTGGGTGTCAGTGCTGTATAACTTGCATCGTCTTTTATCTGTGTAAGTCATTTTAACATTTTGTCTGCTATAACTGTGCTTAAAGGTTAATTAACTTTTAAATTAGTTAATCAAATAACGGTTTGCTTTAAAGAAATTAAATAAAGTAAATCTAGAACGAAAAGCAGTCTGAAGTCGGAGTTAACGGCCTATAGGTTGCATTACAGTTGCGTAATACTTAGGCAAAATGTGTTGGTGTGTAAATCATAGACAACATTACGATTATGAATAAAGAAGAAGAAAAAGACTGGCGTATAGGGATATATAGTAATGTCACAAAAAGGGGACCTTGGGGAGGGGGTATGATAGCACAGGGTGACACCCATGGGGTGACAACAAATAGAAAAATCGTAAAATATACTCTAAATGTTTTGAAAAAAAAGAAAAGTAGATGAATGGTTGGACGACACCAAACCTTAAATAAAAATAATTGTTGGAATGGCCAGGGTGACACTTTAGTTACAGAACATGAAGACCGACTCAGCTACAGCACCAAGTGACACCCTCAGTTACTGCACCAAGTGACAACCTCAGTTACAGCACCGGGTGACACCCTCAGTTACTGCACCAAGTGACACCCTCAGTTACTGCACCAAATGACACCCTCAGTTACTGCACCAAGTGACACCCTCAGTTACAGCACCGGGTGACACCCTCAGTTACTGCACCAAGTGACACCCTCAGTTACTGCACCAAGTGACACCTTCAGTTACTGCACCAAATGACACCCTCAGTTACTGCACCAAGTGACACCTTCAGTTACTGCACCAAGTAACACCTTCAGTTACTGCACCAAGTAACACCCTCAGTTACTGCACCAAGTAACACCCTCAGTTACTGCACCAAGCGACGCCCACAGTTACTGCACCGAGTGACACCATCAGTTACTGCACCAAGTAACACCTTCAGTTACTGCACCAAGTAACACCCTCAGTTACTGCACCAAGCGACGCCCACAGTTACTGCACCGAGTGACACCATCAGTTACTGCACCAAGTAACACCCTCAGTTAAAGCACCGGATGACACCAGACCTTGTGACGCCACTGTGTTATGCAGGTCTACTCTGTTTTCTCCTGATGTAATTTTGTTTGCCTTAGAAATAAACATCTTATTCGATTTAAAAAAAAAACTAAAAAAAGAAAATTAAAATAATAAAAAAAAAGAAAAAAAAAGAAAAAGAAATTTTTTTTTTTAAAAATACATAAAATATAAAATATACCCAACGACATTACTCAATATGCACTGGATAATGTTTTAGCCCTGAGGTTAGAAATGGATAGAAGTACCAATAGTACAAAATATCCTATAATTGCAACTATCACCATGTTTTGATATGTTAACTATCGCCATGGTTTGATATGTCAACTATCGCCATATTTTGATATGTTAAATATCCCCATATTTTGATATGTTAACTCCTCACCATATTTTGATATGTCAACTATTTTCATATTATGATATGTTAACTATCGCCATATTTTGATGTCAACTATCACCATATTTTGATATGTCAACTATCACCATATGTTGATATGTCAACTATCGCCATATATTAATATGTTAACTATATGTTCACATGTTCTCAGGCTCCAATGTTTGTGAAGGTCTACACAACTCACCCGATGACGCGTGCCCATTCATCTTTCAGCCTTCAACTGGCGAATTAATACAGTATAAAACTCAGATAAGATCCAACTACAATTCGTTACAGCCCAAGGTGTTAGCCGTATCAACAAAGAAAAACGCAGCCGATGCTTTTAAACTGGTCAGTTTATTATTATATAGGACTCCTATTGAATGTAATAAGGCGGCCAAACGGTGACCGTTGTCCCATTGCTATCCCTATACCCTATCACACCCCCGCACTATAACAATGACTACAATAATTTAGCATATCTTTTTCGGATCTATCCATTTATAACAACTCAACATATTTAATTTATTTGCTTAGGATTGTCCAGTTATCGATTTACGCCACGTTTGTATTTAGTTATTTGAAAATATGGAAAAAGCCCCTCATTTACAACTTCGGAAAACACTGGGGCGCTTTTTAGCAGCCACAGTCCCTATACATTTATTTTGGCGTCACAAAACTGATGTTGACAGCAGTTTAAAAGCCCATAAAACCAAGTAAAAGTTTTTTTTTGAAATTCTACTCTATATAATTTAGTAATGCAGCTCAGAATACGCTTTTTATTGTGTCTTCAACCCGTCGGGCACCAGTTAACCCTAGGCTCGGTGCCCGGGGCGACCACCCCACCCGCACTCCCCTCAGCCTTGTGACGCCTCTCCTCTCTGAAAACGTGATCGTTGCCATAAATATCCCGTTGTTTATCATCACACACTAATTGTAGTTTATAAATAAATAATCAAAATGCATATATTTAGAAATAATATTTAACAAATATAGTCCTAATAATTCATGTGTAGCGGGTACCGATGACTAGTATCCAATAAAATCCGAAGATATTTTAAACGTTCACAGATCTGCATGGTGGATCTGACCCATGGTTGCGATGGTAGACCAGTATACCCTTGTTATTGTAATCACACGGATCTCCATGGCAACCACCACGCTGTTGTCATGGTCAACAAAACAAGTGCACATAGCGACGCTGAGATAAAGGAAGAAGTTTTTACAACAGACAACGTTCTCATTTTTAGTTTCACACAGACTTTGTCTGGTAAGTTCTATTTTCATTTCGTTGAATCTGCTGTTTTTATACAACGTTACTCTTTATTCATGTAACAAAGCGAACTATATATGTGGGCGTGGGTGTATGTAAATTATATATGTGTGAGCGGTATGTCTTCAACCAAGTTCCCTCTAGTATAGGCCCCATAATTTCTCACCTACATAAGTCCAGATATTTCTTTAATAAAGGGCCCATACTCAGTGTTTCTTCCAGACTTTTTTCTCCGGGGGGGGGGGGGGGGGAGGCCTGAAATTTTCGGGGGACGGACTAAAATTTCCTGGGGGGGGGGGGCGGACACTGTGAAAAGTATATATTTTCTATATAAATTCCATTTCGAGCGGGAGGGGGGCGTAGAAGAAACTCTGCCAATATTCCATCTACCAACGCCATATTTCAGATAAGAATTCGTGGGTTGATATTTAAAATATACAAAGACAGCTTTAATTCTTTTTTTTTTAATTTGATATGGGTTTTGATCCACTTGTATTTGATATGGTGCAGGATTCAGCATTGTTTTATATTTTTTAAAAAAAGTAACAGAGGCAATGGCTGGATTTTTCTAGTCACTGATCTCACCGAATATTCATACCATTTAAGTTTTATAAATCACACAATAGCCGAATCACCCCCACTTCTTTTGAATTATACTTTTCTTCAAGGGGTATGACATTTTTTATTACCTACATCTTTAAAAAAATAAAATATTTATTAAATTTAAAAAAAAGATTTACGTTCTATGTCAAAATATTGTGCTTTCTGGATAACTGGTAAGATGAAGATTAGTTCTCTCCTTCCCTCTCTCACACACACTCGTCTGCGATACACAACAAACACACACACACACACACACACACACACACATATATATATATATATATATATATATATATATATATATATATATTGGAACATCTTCAAATTTTACATTTTAGAGCACGCGCCAGAGTCGAGGTTTGATTTCGTTAAGATAGATTCAAAGGACAGCAACAAAGAACCAACATCTGCTCCATCGGGTAGAGTCACACAATCGGAGTCATACGGAAGCGTCACACAATCTGCGTCACAAGACAACGTCACACACCTCACGGAAGGGAGGTACATAGTCACGTGCCACGTGACAGGAAGCAACCCAAGAGATTCAGTGACAGCCCTCACCTGCGGCAGTGTGTCACGCAGGCAACATGACACCCTGAATGTCCGGCTCCTTGTAGACAGGAACATGCCAGATAAATTCTGTCGGTGCCTGACACAAATCTGGCTAAACAAATGTTACGTGAACGTCACAACAGAGTACCACTTTGATGTAGTTTGTACGTTTTCACTTTAATGCTCTTAAGGGTCATCCGTTAATGGCGTCACTCTATTTGGAGTTGTTTTTACCCCCCTCCCCACCGTCACATATCGTGAGAAAAAGCTACACCCTCCCCCCATAAAATTACATCACACCTTAGCCTAAAAACCCCATTAAAATTCCTGGCTCAAAATTTTAAATATTGATTTCTTTCTAAAATTTGATTGAGCTCATTAAGCAAAGAATAATATAATCATTTTTATAAGAATTTTTATAAAAAGTTTTATAAAACACGATATAACGACAAAAGTTCAATTTGTAACATTACTTTTTTTTAATAAACCAAAAGTGTTACATAATATCACCTGAATACCCCCCCCCCCCCTGCCATCCCCCCCCCCCCCCCCCCTGTTCAGTGTGATCATACTTCGTGAAAAAAATTACAACCCACCGCTCTCATCTTTAGGAACGTGACGTAATTTATTATGGTGGTCTTTTAGCTTCGTTTCAATGTCGGGTGTCGTGTGTATTCGTAATCTTATTTCCTATTAAAAGCCCATAAAACCAAGCAGAAAATCTAGTTATATAAGTTTTCCTCATTTGATGTAAAGTACTAATGGCAGACTATTTGTTGTTTTGTTAGTGTAAAAATATTTTCAGTATGCTAAAAAGATGACGAATTATAAAATAAATTAATTAATTTACATTAAATCTTATTTAGTTTCCAAGAAGTTACACATTTTAATGAGTAATACAACAAAGTTTGGGTAAATTCAAATTTAAAAGTAATTAGAATATTGATAGAATAAAAAAAATAATTCAGAATTGTAAATCATTATCTCGTCTTATTTTATTGATCGTTTCATGGGGAAGTTAAACTGTTGATGGATGAAATAAATTAAGAAAATCAATTTCATTTAAAATGGTGACTGATTTCTCGAGAAACTGGGACTATGTTTATTTAATGATGTTCTAGTTTCCAGGCATCTTCATGTTTTTTTGTTGTTTAATATCCACTTAGACCCTCCAGAAGGGGTACACATGAAGGTCAACGGTCAAGTCGACAATGACGTCACTGTAAACAAAACGTCAGAAGTCAGCATTACGTGTCAAGCCGGAGGCTACCCGGAACCCGAGTTGAGAATATCCACAGGGTTCAAGTCGAACCCTAAAACCCTGCGGGAGATGAGGTCTAACACTCTAACCTGGGCCACGAACGTGACTTGCCGTGACACTGGCCACTATTTCTGCTCGGCCAACAGCACAGTTGGCCATCTCATGACTAACGTCACCATCTACGTCGAATGTGAGTCCATAGTGCAATCGATTCAAGTTGATCAGACTAAATCAAAGTGTGATTGTTCTACATTCAAATTTGAATTTATCTTCAATCAACACCATATGTATATATATATATATATATATATATATATATATATATATATATATATATATATATATATAATGTATACAGGTGCCATGGAACTGCTCGGGTCTACAAAAAACAATTCTCGGTACTATGGAGTAGCTGGTGGCCAAGTTTCAGTGGATCTTGATGTGTCTGGCTACCCTGATCCCACATCCTACACCTTGATGTCAGAACATGAGGCCAACATCACTGATGGCCACAGGTATCTGGCCAAGTACACCAAGACCGGAATGGCCATGGGTACAATCAATCTCACGCTGTTTGACCTAAAGCCCGATGTGTTTCGAACCCACTACTTTCGCGTGGACAACGGCGTGGCTGATACACTCACATTTACGTTTGAAGTTCTAAAAAAAACTACTGGTCAGTCTCTTGCCCTATCTTCATTTACATCTGATTTTAGAGTCAGTCAGTTACTACTAACTCGTTTCTTTTAAATTACAATTTTATATCTAGGAGTTAGTTTTTGCTAGGTTCAATTACTAGTAATTCGTTTAAAAAAAATACAAATTGATATCTAGAAGTGTAGTTATTTTATCTTACTGTTATCCTTACACTATCTGCATAGGCCTACTTCACACAAACATTTCCATCACTGGCTCCTTAACGACTGGGTCAGTGTTTCTTCCAGACTTTTTTCTCCGGGGGGGGGGGGCTGTAGACTTTCTTCGGGGAGGGGGACACTGTTAAAAGTATATACTTTCTGTATAAGTTACATAAATTTCATTTCGCTCGGGGGGGGGGGGGGGCGGTAGAAATTTTTCGGGGGTGCAAAGCCCCCCCCCCCCCCCCGAAGAGATGCCTGGAAGAAACTCTGGACTGGGTGACTGTGCATTGGTAGAAAATCAGGGCACAACATTTGTGTAGCAGGGTGAGAAGATGTTGCTCATGTATCAGATTAGCTCTCTCCACACAAACAATAGGACCTTATAGGGGATGAGCTTCATATATATCTTTGCATCAGCTATGTTTCCACTATACTGCTTCATACATAGACAATGTTCAATACAACAACAAGATGCAATAACAACGTGTAAAATAAACAGCGTCTCATTAATGCTGCCTTATATCTAATTTATATGTGATTTTCTTCTTTTTTTTTGTATATTACGTGTGGGTAACATTATTGTTTTTAATCTTTTCAGATGAAAATTTGTGGGTGATTTTCCTGATCATATTTTCTGTAGTGATTTTCATGGCCCTCGTGTGTCTGTTAATTTGTGCATTTACCTACAGGAATAAAGGTGAGTCATTGTTTCTTTACACTTACCTAAAGAAGCAAAGGTGAGTTATTGTTTCTTTACTATTAGCTACAGGAACAGAGGTGAGTCATGGTTTCTTTACACTTACCATAAGACGTCAACGAAGGTGAGTCTATGCGTCTTCTCGCGTAGGAAGTGTTTCTTTCAGACATTTTTCTCCCTGGGTGGGGCACGTGAAACGTTTTTTTGAGAGGGGGAGCAGCACTTACATTTCACGGGGGGGGGGGGGGACGGACAGACGGACGGACGGGACGGGACGCTAGTTAAAGTATATATTCTTTATAAATACTTTTTCTATTTCATTAGGGGGGGGGGGAATGGGCAGTGTCAGCCCCGAAGAGATACCTGAAATAAAATCTACAAGTACCATAACATGTTTATTTTCAGTGGCGAAGGCATATTGGGGGGGGGGTTAAGAGGGGGGTTATAACCCCTCCCATGGACCCTATATATATATATATATATATATATATATATATATATATATATATATATATATATATATATATATATATATATATATCATTGTATACATATGGAAAAATGTTTGAACCCCTCCCTTGACCAATTCCTGGGTACGCCACTATTTATTTTACTTGTCTCTGCTTGGGATAAAACGTTAATAATAGGCCACATTAAAGCGGTATTAGTTCATACAAAACTGACAAACTACACAAATAATGTAAAAGTTTGTATCGAAATTTAAAAATGAACGAAACAAAATACGTCATTTTCGACGTGGATAAAAGCAACGAAACTAACACATTACTCTATGACTAACCGAGCGATTACATTAAAATAAGCGAAAGTAACATTAAAAAAAATCTTTTAAGTGTGCTCTTAATCATCTTAATATTTTGTATTCTCGTTTAAATTTTTTAAAAAATTAAGATTTTAGAAACCCAAAAATAGTAACGTATGTTCAGTGGCGTCACTAGGTTGGGTGTCACCCGGTGCGGTAACTGGTGGTAGAATACCACCCCTGTAACAATTTTGCATTTTTAGTTTGACGTCACTCTTTTCTTGTAGTATGTTATTAAAAAAACTTGATTAAACATTGTTTTGATAGTAAAGTTTACACATTTTCAATTTGCTGTCACTAGTAAACTTTACAAATTTTCAATTTGGTGTCACCCTTAAACGGTGTCGCCCAGTGCGGACCGCACCCCTACCCCTGCCTTGTGACTCTACTGCGTATTTTACAATTAATTTCATTAACTTACAATGTTGACATAATTTGTTTCTGGCAACTTTAGGCGACAGTAAGGAAGAAGTGAAGGCCGTGAGTTTTAAAACTGATCATATCAGGTCAATTCGACGCGTCATTGACTACCCCACCAGTCCCAGAACTGTGCAACAGGGGGGTGACACCCATCATTACCAGGGGGGTAACGCCCACCATTACGCCGTACCGATCGTCCATCGTCCAGCCAGCCAATTAGACTGCGGGTATATTGACGTCATTGATGACGTCATCGACGAGAGGGGAGGCTACTCCAATAGTCTGCCCATTATAGATGGAGGGATTGACCCATAACAAGCACAGTTGATTAAAGATCTACCCATTATAGATGGAGGGATTGACACATAAACAGCACAGTTGATTAAAGATCTACCCATTATAGATGGAGTGATTGACCCATAAACAGCACAGTTGATTAAAGATCTACCCATTATAGATGGAGTGATTGACCCATAAACAGCACAGTTGATTAAAGATCTACCCATTATAGATGGAGGGATTGACACATAAACAGCACAGTTGAATAAAGATTAAACTAATACAGTGCAGCTCATAGAAGATTAACTGAACAGTACAGCTAAGTTAGGAATAAACAAAAATACATAAAAGCCAAGTGAAGATGAACTTCGCACAGTACAGTTTAGAGAAAATAAACCTTGGACAGCATTACACAGCTTCTATCATCCTGATAATGTGAACATCAATCTGCGTCATAAAAAAAATTACAGACGCGAGCAACCTATTCCTAGCTCAGAACACCCTGTTCATATATGTATGGTCACCAATATTATAATTGTTTAACATTTTGTATTAGTTTTAAATTTAATTTATACAGCTGTACCTACTAATTAATTATTTTTGTCGCTTTCGTTGAACAATTTTACTTATATAATTTTTATGCAATTTTTTTCAAAATAAAATATCCCAAAATTACTTCATATTCACTTCAGCAAGGAGATGAAAGCTAAATAATAATATTAATAAAAGTTATTACAATTTTTGAATATTCGTTACTGATTAAATTTTGAATACAAAACAATATTACAAAGTCGAAGTTTTTGCACTAAATCGATTTGATAGTATATAGGGCTTTGATTATGTTAAGATATTTGTTGAGCAAGCTTCAAGATTTCATCTTGCCGTTATTTCAATTATTGTTTTTTGTATCATAACCTTCTAAAACGAGTTAAATATTTTAATTTACTATCACACATTTAATAATTTTGAGCGATATCTTTTGCTAATATAATTAATTTTGAATATTGAAAAAAATTAAATGACCAAATATTGGAATACAATCTCAATTATTTGCCGTGTTAAAACTCTTCCAACAAGATATATTTTTCTATCGAAATTAGGGCGCCAGGAAGTAAACAAAAAAGTAGTTGGGCTGTTTGTTAAGTGTAGAGGTCACGATGGAGTTCAGCCTGAAGATGACGTCAGTTTCTCTAGCGATTGGCAAGTCAGTGACGATGGTATGGGCACCAACGTGGACTGTGGGGGACTTGACCTCACGAATAGCTACTGCAGGAACGATAACTTGTATGCTGATTTGTATGAGAATGATGTCTAAAGAATACTAAAGATTAATTTAAAAAAAGACATTTTAAAGCCCAAAGAAAATTAAATAATGATCATTTTAATTTTAGTTTTTATTTAAAAGGTGTTATGTAAAAAAATATTCTTTATTAGATAGTCAAATTGATTATAATTCTTTAAAGTCAGCAATTTATATATGTAATAACAAATCGTCCTTTACACAACAAAATGTTTTTATTATGTTTTAAATATAATAAATTTTACGCTACTTCTCACTTTATTACATATGTTTTTACTTTGAAACGTCAACTTTTTATACTAGAATTGAATTTAGTTTTTAAAAAAGTAGCCTAAACAAATTAAGAAAGGCTTTTGATTTTTATTGTAATTTCTTTTTAATTGAAATCTTTTAGTCCTTCATACCTGACGTAATTTTCATGATTTTTGTTGTATTCTAACAACTGAGATTTTTAAAAATTAACTGAAGTGTCATATTTGTATCTGGTAAAAAATAAAATCAAAAACTTTATTTAAATAAATAAAAGAAAAGCGTGTTTCGCTTACTAAATTTTAATATTTTAGTAAGGTATTTTTATGTGTTTGTGTGTTTGTTGTGTGAGTGTGTTCGTCAGAGTGTGTGTGTGTTTGTGTGTGTGTGTGTGTGTGTGGATTTCCTAAAAACCGTCTCACTAAAAATCTTTACAGATTCAGTGAACTTCTCATACTTGTCAAAATCATCACACTTAAAAAGACATTTTCTAAAAATAATCAAACGAAGCAGAGGAAGCTGCTAAAAAAAAAAGAAAAAAAAAAGAAAAATAGCACGCTGTATCAAACGTTGAAGGTAAAGCGTGTTTTTAGGCACACACAAGATGGGAAAAAGAAATGTTTAGCAGCAAACATACAGAAAAAAATTATATATATATATATATATATATATATATATATATATATATATATATATATATATATATATATATATATATATATATATATATATATATATAATGTATATGTAAACTATGCATATATTTAGGCTATACGCAGACGCAGATAGGTGCACACATACACACACTTAGTTTCGTGTCGATCAGTTGAATTACCTATTTGTTTTACACAATACAACTTGTTTACACGTCTCTCTAAACTGTTTTACAGCCACAAAATACACAAAAAAGTTAACAACATGAGAGGAGTCGTAAATTAATAGCTGAACCAAAAGGAATATTGCAAGTGTAGGATTGGAGATTTGTGACATTATGCTTGTAAATATGATGGCTGGTAATGAAAGGAGTAAAAAAACGAGGGCTGAGAAAATCATCCATTTGGTCAAAGTTGATTCCATTCTCGCAGTAGCTGGACTGGCATGTTCTATTGAAATGTCATTGCGGGTAATTTCCTTTCGCCTCTTACGAGCATTGAAAAGTGAGTACACAACAGCAGAAATAAAGAGAATGATTAATATAAATGGTATAAATGTATTTAACATAATAAGGATTAAACGAAACGAATGTTTTAATATATGGTTAGTATCACAGAATCCATCGTATGTTTTAATAAAAATAAAACATATTGGAATATAAATAGCAATATGAATAAGTATCAAAATGAAAATTGACAATTTACAACTTCGTTTTGTAACCAATAGTAATCTTTTAAGAGGAAAACAATCTTTCAACACTCATAAAAACAATGATCCAATTGGCCAAACTTGTGAAGAAAATAGGTAAAAAATAATTGAGTTGACAAAAAAGTGAGTATTTATATAAACTCATATAGCTTAACAATTCTGTTTCTAAAAGTTTCGCCACAAGTGATGCTCCATCGAACAGGGCTAAAAACGAAAGCAATATAGCTGAAGGTCCCAGTGTTTTGATCGAACGTAGCGTTAAAATAATCAGCAGATTGGTTACGAGTCCAACAATGCAATACACCCAGAGGATGATGGCATACACTTTTTCTGCAATATAAATTTCTGTATCGACATCATTGCTGATGAAGAATAAAAAGAAAAAAAATTATCTTACGATTTGTTTGTATGTTTCATTATGTTTTATTATAGTTAATTATTGATTTAATAATGTTAATAGCTATACTGACAAGTAATATAATAGACATGTCTGGTGAGCATAGCTCGATACATTTGACAATTTAATATTTAATCAAATGATCATACGTTTTGGATTTTCAATGTATTACATAAGAACCATAAACTCAATTGACTAAGCAAACAAAAGTAAATTATGTTTCCAATATGTAGATATGTGATCTCCCCTAACGTTCTCGAATATTCTTATATAACACTATCTGGATGGCGTGATTTTAAATCAATTTTTAAATATTAATTAAAAAAAAATAGAAAAAAAAGAGTTTATTAATCATCGTATGTCACAATACACTGTCTTCGTGCCTTGGCCTACGCGAAAAGTTTAAAATAACTCAGTCTGGTAGAAGTGTTCAAACTTGTGTTTACAATTTTTCGACCGTGATGGAAGATACACAGAGGAAAATTCATCTTCAGTTTTTGAAAAAAAAAATCAGAAACAGTGTAAAGGGCTACTTCTGGTAACCAGAAATTACTCAAAATTTGAAAGAGAACAGATAATTAGATATTTTACTTATTAGTGAAATTTCGTGTATCAGAAACAGTACTCAATTAATTGGCTTTTGAAAAATCGAAAGTAGAATAAGATTTTTTTAAAGGAATTTTCGTCAACTTAGCTGTAACAGTACTGATGTTATCGTCAGACAGAGAGACACACATACATACATACACACCCACAACAGACACAGTCAAAATTACAAAACTAAGTCTTTCGGACTCAGGGATGTGTAAAACGTTGAGATTTTTGAAAATCTCAATTTGTTTTTGATCGATTACAATACTTCCACTATACTATGTAGGACTATATGAGAAAATAAAAAAATGCTATACAAATATGCTATAGTTTACATTTGAAAGTTTGAATGTTTGCTAGTGTTTGTTTATTTACTTTTCATATATTATTTCTATAATATTTTGTCTTATTAGGCAGAACGAATGCTTACACGAAAGTATCATGTTCAGAACACGAGCTATAGGTCTTGGGACACTCTAAGTCCACCGGCACCCATGAGTACCTGAGTCACGTTAGCATTAGTAAATTCGGCTTGGCATTTGACTGGCCACACTATGCCTAATATGCTGAGGTCACACAGAAATACTAGGTCAGAAAGGGTAACATATTTTAAATTGTCTTATCATATGCCATGCCAACAAAGCTAGTTTTACTATTGATGAATATATCACATTATTAGATTTAATAATAGCAATATAAACATAAAGTGATACTTCAACGCCAAGGGTAGACATTCCGTGTGGAATGGTAGGTTCGGAACCCGTCGGGTCTGTCTGTTCTGTCTTTACTTGGACTATATTCTGTACCTTTGTCTACCCTTGGCGTTGAAATATCACTTTATGTTTATATTGCTATTTCAGCTACAACGCCTGCTTCCACCCCCTCTACATGTTTACACTATACCCTTTTAAAAGAAGCTACTATTTGTCTGTATCGTCGTCCCTATACTTGTGTCGCTTGTCTGGTCGAATAATAGTCCTTGTTGTGTTTAGGAGGCTAGCGGTCAGACCCTTTAGGGTTCAGAGGTCACGCCAGCCCGCGTCTTCCGTGTCACATGCTATGATAGTGGTCTGCCAAGAAAGCTCTATTTTTTGTAGAGCTGATTGGCAGAAGTGGTTACACGTCTGACTTGATGCA